CGCTAGTAGGCTGGAGGCCATTGCTTTGAGGTTGGAGGCCATCGCTAGTAGGTTGGAGGCCATCGCTATTAGGTTGGAGGCCATTGCTATTAGGTTGGAGGCCATTGCTATCAGGTTCGAGGCCATGGCTCTTAGGTTGGAGGCGACCCGGAGTGGGCAGTCAAAAATGCGCCGATCAATTGCCTTGCTTACAGAGTTCGGAACTTCCAACGTATCCAAAAACCTTTGGGCTGATCTCCACAATCAGAATGACACATATCTTTTGTCTAAGTTCTCCAACCAGGACTTCGGTGAAAACTTGCACTTGTTCCTAGTAGCTTCTTGTTACTACTAGTAAGGCACTTGTTACTAGAAGCGATGCACTTGTTACTAGTAGCCTGTTGGTACTAGTACCCAAAAAATATGGCATGGCTTCATGACGTTTACGAAACGATTTCGGATTTCGGATTCTTCATCTCTCTCTGCTCTCATGCGAGCGGCTCCCCGAGCGGCAGCCCATCGGAGCCGTAGAGGATGGGCCTTCCAGAGTCGACTTGAAGACATCGAAGAAAGAATCGCCTTTTCAAGCGTCTCAGTTTTCTTGTTTAAAGATAGATACGTCATGTTTCATGTCTTTTCTGGAATCCGCTTCTTCTTTGCCAAGAAATATGATCTTTGAGCAACAAAGGTCTTCGGATATCCAAAGAATGGGAGGCGCTGGATGATGGACTTCTTTGTCGTAGAGTCATAGAGTATCGATATGTTCGATCACGAATCCTTGTTGGCACCGAATGAAACTCATGATGCCTAATTCCAGAAAAGCCTATGAGTACACGTGCAGAGAGGCATACCAGATGACACCAATACAACATATTTATATAGGACTCTCCCTCTCTCTATCTCGAAATGACGCGCTCCCTACTGCCGCATGGCCGTCGCCGGGGTGGACGCATGTTTGGTGCCGCGGTACTCTGCGGTGGTGGTGGTCACCAGGCTCTCCGCGCGACTGCCCAGACCAGCGCTACACAGCTCTGGAGCCCATTCCTCGCGTGTCGACACGTTGTCGACACACCGCTAGGAGAAAGTCACAGTTGTTCTGAGAAGTCTTCTCCCCCAAACAATGATCGGGGTTGCATTTTGGGTGATGGGAAAGAATTGCTAGGTCTCGGTCTTTATGAAATCAAGAAAGGGGGGCTTTTGAGCAGTCGTCTTGATGGCGGCTTGCGGAAGCAGACCTCCTGCACCACTCCTCACCACCCCGGGTTTGTGGCAGGTGGAGGCGACTTTGGAGCTTTCGGCTTCGAGATCGAAAAGAAACACCTCCGTCGCGGAGGGCCTTCGATGGCGACGTCGCCGTTCAGACGGTCCCGAAGCGCCGCACGGTCCGAAACCCGCCTTGATGTCTAATTCTAATTTAATTTCATTCTAATTTATTCTAATTTAATTCTAATTTGTTACTACTAGTAAGGCACTTGTTACTAGTAGCGATGCACTTGTTCCTAGTAGCTTATTGTTTCTAGCGCCGCACGGTCCCAGACCCGCCTTGATGTCTTCCCAACTTTGGCACTTCGAGTAGACCCTCGGCTTGGTGAAGCGCGCCTTGTTACAGCGGTAGTCCTCAGCGCTGGGTGTGGTCTCCGAGTCTCCGGTGAACCTGTGAAAAGCTGCTCCTGGTAACGTCCTTGTTACTACTAGTAAGGCACTTGTTACTAGTAGTAAAACACTTCCGAGCTCGAAGATCTTCCGAAGAGAAAACACTTTTGGTGAACACCGAAGAACACCGTGAACTCCATCTTCAAAATCGCTCGCCATTCTGGAGTCCACGGTTTTCTGCCAAGGAGATCACTGTGGATGAAGGCTCCGCAAGAGGAAACCAAGCAGATCCATGACACTCTCCGAGACTCAAGAATAACAAACATCATAGATATCTATAGCCATAGAACAATTGACAAACAACAAAAAAGCAAAACATGTTGCAATCATCTTCCTTTTCTGGATAGTTTACACCCGAGACCTTAGCTGATTGATGCTTGATTCACCACTTTACCATGAGGATGATCATCCAACATTGCTCCCCTGCACACTCAAGAAATCCGAGTGGCGCAGCCCGTGTGGGTTTCCACACCACCTGAGATCAGTTTCAACCAGCAACACATCAAGGATTGATTCCTCAAAATTCGGGGTAAATCCAAAGGCTTTGACCATTCCACGTCAGCCAACAATGCCGAATGTTTAAAACACGTTATCTGTGGACTGGAACTGGACCTTGGTTGCATCTGTGAAGCTGCAACTTGCCCTCTCCGGTTGGAGTGGATGTTTGAACGTCAACAAGAAGAGAGTCCGCGACCTACAAGTAAATAACGAGTGGACCGTGGCAAGTATTAGATCCTGATGTCAAAAGACCTGTGTGTTGGCAACATCCCTGAAGAAGACCGGTTCCTTGCTCTAGCCGTCGCTTCGACAGGTCCATGCGCCCACCGGTCGAGCATCCGTCCATGCGCAAGGTCCAGCGGGTATTGGTGGTCCACAGTGACACCTCGACGGTCGACCGGTGCGACGCGAACGTCGTGGCCAGTCGACCGGTGCGCCGCTTCGACGCGGCGGAATCACCATGATTTCTCTTTCTCAGCGAACGCGACATTGGATGTACCATTGCTTCTAGGTTGGAGGCCATCGCTACTAGGAGCAAAGGACGCTTGATAGGTTGGAGTTCATCTAAATGGCTATGAATCCCGCGCGCCTCGGTGATGATGGGCGCTAGTTCGTCCGGCTCCGACATGGTCCACCAGGGCGTCTGGTGCGACCACGGGACTGAACGGCCCCCCCCGTGTTGGTGAACCGTATGATCACGTGATGAGAACTCGTCAAATTCCTGAACACAAGAAGATCAACTAAGTGCCACGCTAGTAGTAACAAGTGCCTTACTAGTAGTAACAAGTGCCACGCTTCTAGGAACAAGTGCCTGTTCTTCTCGCTTTTTCTTCGCTTGCCTTATAATCCTGTCTTGTCATGGATTTCTCGATCACTTTGGGCTCCGATTTGGTTGGCCTCCAATCCCAACTACAATCACAAGACCCAGCGCGCCAGCATGCCCAGGAGGGTCAGGAAGCAAGCAGCAAGGGCACCACATGCGCTCAAGCCTCACAGTGGGCACAGGTTGGAGCGTGAGTGCATGAGACAAGCTGAGCTGTGGTTTCTATCTTATTGGCCAGATGTCTAATTTCTAAGTTAATGGGCTAAAGGTCTGCGAATAACATGTCAGGGTTTGACGTGACTGTTTCTTTCCAACTATGCCTATGCCCGACTCTGAAGTTCCTGTTTGCTTCCCCAAACACGAAGCCGTGTTCTGTTCGCTTCCAGCTTCCTACCCTCCCACCTAGCCCGGAGCCTGAGAACCACAAACTGTACTCCATGGGCATGTCTCAGCCGCTTCGGACCTTCCCCGCCCAGTTGGACGCCATCCGCTCGGCAACGCCCGCGGCGGATGGGCGACACCCGCCCGCGGCCGAGGCAGTCGACCGGGTCTCCGGGTCGATTGGACCAATTCCGTGGGTCGTTGGAGGGCCTTGATTTCTGTGGCGGCTCAGGGGTTGCAGAAGGTTCTGTAGTCAAGCAAACTCAGGGGTTGCACAAAAGGGTCTAAGGAAGGAAGCACCCTAACTTTGTCTAGACAACATGCAGCGAAAAGAAGCAAGCCTCCCTTCAGGAGCCTGAGCCAAACAGTATGCATGGAAGATCTTCAGTGAATCCTCGTCGTTGATGCACCAGTGAATCCGAGTCTTGTCTCCAATGGTTGTTGAGCGCTTTCTTTCGTTTCCTGCGCACGAGGAATCCGACGAGGCCAACCGGGGCTTTCCTTTTTCTCCGGGGCTCTGCCGGCTTGGCTTCAATGGCCAACCTACTAGCGATGGCCTCCAACCGAATGGCTTCTTGCTACTAGTAAAGGCCTCTGTTCATGAGAAGGACTTTCCATGTCTCTTCCAACGCCCCGCCAGAAACGATCCTTTTGGACAGCTGGACGGCAAGAAGGAGCCTCACAAGAGTGGACGGAAGATATTCGCAGCAATGCGCAGCATGTGGAGTACTTAGTTGAAGGGCTTGATTGCAGTACTTGAAAGCAGTACTAGGAACAAGGACGCTACTAGGAGCAAAGGGCATCGCTACTAGGAACAAGAAGCTACTAGGGGCTCCTGGCCTTATACTAGGAACAAGGACGCTACTAGGAGCAAAGTACTTACGACTTTATTTGCCTGTGGCTTGAACAACTGGACCTGATCAGATTCCAGCCAAGTAGATTTTCATTCAACCACCTATTCCTATTAGGTTGGAGGCCATCCCTACTAGGTTGGAGACGATCGCTAGTAGGTTGGAGGCCATCGCTATTAGAAACAAAGAAGAAAGAACAGGAAGAAAGGACTAATGTAGTTTGCTATTAGGTTGGAGGCCATTGCTATTAGGGTGGAGGCAATCCCTACTAGGTTGGAGGCCATCGCTAGTAGGTTGGAGGCTGCTGGAGGTCATCGCAATTAGAAACAAAGAAAAGAAAAGAACGGACTAATATAGTAGCAACAAGAAGCTACTAGTAGCTCCTGGCATTACGACTAGCATCAAGAAGCTACTAGTAACAAGGGCATTATTACTAGTAACAAGTGCCTTACTAGTAGTAACAAGAAGCTACTAGTAGCTCCTGGCAATACTACTAGGAGCAAGGACGCTAGTAGTAACAAGTGCCACGCTAGTAGTAACAAGGGTGCCTTACTACTGAGAGCGAATAGCTACTAGTAGCTTACAACTAGTATTGCCAGGAGCTACTAGTAGCTTCGGAAACAATAGCTTGCGTCTTCCCTTTCAGTCCTAGTGGTTGTTCCTGCCACCAAGCTGACATCACCAAACCTCACAACCCAGTGCCACCTCCACCCCAAAACCATGTTCTTCCCACTGTCCTGCCAGGGCTACTAAGCATTTCATAGCCCTCTAGGGTTGTAGCCCAGACATCGCAGAAACATCGTTATTAGGAGCAAGGACGCTACAATCGGGGCTCCTGGCCTCGCAGAGAGAACTCCTTTTCGGCTCATCGCCACACTCCCCGCCGCTTTGGGTCTTGGTCGCTTCCACGGCGCGCTTCTTGGTCAGCGCGCGGGATCCCCACAAAGGCGGTCGTGGTGGGGGCTGTCGCTTTGCGGGCGAAACGCTGGGAGAGCGGTGAACGAAACAAGGGGCAGAACGAAATGAAGCCAACGGATGTTCCTCTCATCTCTCGGGTGCTTCAACATTTAGTCAGATGTCACCGGACATGTTCACCACTTGCCATTTTTGGGAACGGAGAGTTCCTGTCTGTCCTCAAAATCTGCAAGGACCTGCATCACATGTGCTGAATTCCAGCACATGGCTCAAAATGCATTCAAAGGCATCAAAACTGGGAAGACGGGGTATTGAAGTCAGTTTTGCACATGCTATCTACAATGTTGAGTTCACCGTCCAATCGCTTTGAAAGAGTCACAACCTTTCATCGGTCAATACAAGCAAGTCATCAAACACATGATACTCAAACATGTTTCTTTTTCTTTTCCTCTTTCTTCCGATGTCTTTCGGCATGATGGTACACTCAGAACACTCCAAATGTCTTCGACCTTCCTTGCCATTGGACGTCCCTCGGGAAGATTCCGCACCACCAGTGCCAACCAGTGTGACACGGTGACACGGTGGGGCTCGGCTCGATCGCCGGCCGGGCGCTGAAACGGTTGGCAGAGCGGTGAAAGCGGTCCATGTGATGTGGTTTCCGTCGGAAAATGTGGTGAGACGCGAAAGACTTTTGGATGTGAGAAGCTAACTCCAGTTGGCCTTACTACTAGGAGCAAGGACGCTATTGGGATGTGCTAACATGGGGCAGATCTGCGCTATCAGGAGCAAGGCCTCAGCTATCATTTCACCACATGCCGATTGGGAGATCCAACTGTCTTCAAAATTTGCAGCTGCACCAGCCGTTGGTGGCACATGCTTTCAAAAATGCACCAAAATTGACAAGAGAATTTGAAAGGGTATTGAAGATGGCTATATACAGAGTATATACAAAGGTGAGTGCATCGTCCAATCAAGGAAGGGTGTCCTACGCGTTAAAAAAACAGTGCAAAAAGCCTTAGCACAACCCGAGCTTTCGGGACTATGAGTGCTGCCAATTTCACCTAACACCCTTCCAGCTTGGACTCCCCTCATAGAGGACCACCAGAAAATGAAGTCCTGTTTCGGCTTGACTGTGCGACTTGCAAAGGTCAGCATGACCCCTGTCAGGTTCGTCTGTCATGGTCAACGCGCCCCTGTGGGTTGCGTCTCTTTGGCAAGCGCTGATCAAATGCCCGTGGTACCAAAGGGTTCTGGCTGCCTCACTGGTGTACTGCAGGCGCAGAGGTTCCGCTAGTTCCTTAGCAAAGTGCTTTTGAGAGCTCAGAAATTGTTAAGTGCTCAGTCGACGCCGCTTGTGTGGCTCATCTCTAGTAGGTCGGAGGCCATCGCTAGTAGGTTGGAGGCCATCCCTATTGGGTTGGAGGCCATTAGTTTGTTTTCTTCTTCATTTTAAATCTCTTTTCTGTTTTGTTCTTTTCTCTTTTTAGTAAGTGCTCAGTCCAAGATTCACAGCTTCATCTTCTCTCCGTGACCTCGGAAAAAACTCGATCGGGGTGGGCGAAGGCTTCGATGATCGGAAAAAGGTCCTGGAACCCTTGGCCCTTTAGGAGCAAGGACGCTCCTAGGGGCTCCTGGCATCGCTACTAGGAGCAAAGGGCATCGCTACTAGGAGCAAGGACGCTACTAGGGGCTCCTGGCCATACTATTTGTTCTTTCTCAAGAACGTGTCTTTCTAGACTGCTCGAGATTCCCTGCCCTGGGTTGGTTGACGAAGAAATATAGAGCACACAGGCCTCGAACCTAATAGCAATGGCCTCCAACCTAATAGCGATGGCCTCCAACCTAGAAGCGGAGGCCTCCAACCTAGACGAACAAACATGAGCACAACAATGTTTCGTCTTTTTGCTAGAGAAGCTACTACTAGTAATGCCCTTGCTAGTAGGTAGCGATGCGCTAGCTACTCAGTGCATAGACAGTGGGCAGGCGATGTAAAAGTCACAGGCCGTGATGGCGTCGAAGACCGGGACGCCGCAGAAGTAGCGCACGGCATCACTGTAGGGTGGCAGCTCCGTGCACTCCATCAAGATCGCGCGCACCTGGCGGGGGTCACACGGTCACACCGGTGGAAAGGTTTCATGTGCTGGGTGCTTGCCCAACAGCGACGGTTCCGAGATTCGTCTGGGGGTTGTGGAAGTCAAAGGTTTTGCCAGGTTTCTAGAGAAATGAAGCTAGTAGTAACAAGTGCCACGCTAGTAGTAACAGGTGCCTTGCTAGTAGTAACAAGAAGCTGGTAGAAACAAGAAGCTAGTACTAACATGAAGGTCGGTATTTTTGTAGTAGTCTCTCAACGCTTCATGCCATGACAGCTTTGGCGCAGGCATCGCGCAGGCATCGGTCTCAAGATGGTTTGTTTGATATCTTTCAGGTCTAATTTCGCTGGCAGCACAAGCAATATGATTCCGGTGCGTCTTTTTGCTTAATTCCTGGAGTGGAAGCGCTAAGAAACTTGTAAAATCCAAAGAAACTGGCTTGGAACCCTTCGCCTGCGGGTGTGCCCGCAAGACCTGCTTCGCCTTCTCCACGATCCCCGGAGTGACCTTCTTCACCTTGGCGCAGTGCACATGCTTTCGACGCTCCCCGCTAGCAAACTATATTAGACCTCCCTTCATTGTCTTTTTCTTTGTTTCTACTAGCGATGGCCTCCAACCTACTGGCGATGACCTCCAACCCAAGAGCAATCCTCCAAAAGGCTTAGTTGGCTTTCAGGTTCTCCACTTTTCCTGAGTAGGTCTTCATCTCCAACCCCTCGCCATCCCCATCCGCCATCCTCACGTGCTCGTCCTCGCCCAAGCGGCGTCCACTTTCTGCCCCAAGGCCACGGCCTCGAAGCCTGGCACCTCCTCACAGCCGACGAAGATAAAGGGCTGCTCCTCCCAGCTGAAGGGGCCGAGATGAAAAGCATCCATCGTGTTTGCTGGAAAAGATGAACAAGCAAGGGAAGACTGGTTTTTGCTGGAAAATGGTAGGCAAACATTGGAGATTACACTGTGACTCCGGAGTGTCAAGCCAATGTGTCAGGCTAATGGAAGAATCGCGCTTTGAACAATGGCTACAAGTACCACCAAGGGAGGTTGCAATCCCTATAGGAACTCACCACTGACCTACAGATCCACCACAGAAGGTGATACAAAAGTCTGAGCGTCAGCGGTACTGGAGGTGATCTATCGTAAGTCCGTGAGTTCCGTCACAGCTCAAGGCTTCCCGGATCAAATATGGCCCGCCAGAACGGGATGAGCAAATAGTAAATCGTGCTCTTGCGATGTAGTTTCGATGCTGCTCTTGGAAGAGGTCTGGGGGTCGGGAGAAGGGCCATTTCAGCACTTCACGCGCACCTTGGAAGAGCACGGCTTCTGAACCGTTTTCAGCAA